GCTGTAGAGAAAAAAGCGACGACGGTTTCCGCGCGTGGCCGCCACCAATGATGAACTGTCACAATTGCGTGCTGTCCCGTGGACGGTGCCCGGTGCTCTGAATCCTCTGCGACTTGTGTGTTCTCCTTCTCTTCTCAACACCCCCGCGGCAATCCCCCTGCAAAGAGACGGTATTGCCGCTATTGATTTAGGCACAATATAAATTCGACAAACAACACTCGAAGGACACACAGGTAGGCACCGAGTAAGATGGGGAGGACAGTCGTCGGGGCCAGCAGGATGTTCTGGCTAACGTGTTTCGTGCCGCTTCTTCTGGCGCTCTGCCCCAATGAGCCCGCGCACGCCCTGGCACCCGGATCGAGCCGAGTTGAGCTGTTTAAGCGGCAAAATTCGACGGTGCCATTTGAAGAGAACGGCGAAGTCCGACAGCGAGTTGTCCACTCGTTCCGCCTCCCCGCCCTTGTTAATGTGGATGGGGTGATGGTTGCCATCGCGGACGCTCGCTACGACACATCCAATGACAACTCCCTCATTGACACGGTGGTGAAGTACAGCGTGGACGATGGGGAGACGTGGGAGACCCAAATTGCCATCAAGAACAGTCGTGCATCGTCTGTTTCTCGTGTGGTGGATCCCACAGTGATTGTGAAGGGCAACAAGATTTACGTCCTGGTTGGAGGCTACAATAGTTCGAGAAGCTACTGGACGTCGCATGGTGATGCGAGTGACTGGGATATTCTGCTCGCCGTTGGTGAGGTTAAGAAGTGTACTGTGGACGACAAGACAGCTGCGAGTATCAAATGGGGGAGCCCCGTGTCACTGAAGGAATTTTTCCCGGCAGAAATGGAAGGAATGCAAACAAATCAATTTCTCGGCGGTGCGGGTGTTGCCATTGTGGCGTCCAACGGGAATCTTGTGTACCCTGTGCAGGTTACGAACAAAAAGAAGCAAGTTTTTTCCAAGATCTTCTACTCGGAAGACGAGGGCAAGACGTGGAAGTTTGGGGAGGGTAGGAGCGCTTTTGGCTGCTCCGAACCTGTGGCCCTTGAGTGGGAAGGAAAGCTCATCATAAACACCCGAGTTGACTGGACACGCCGCCTGGTGTACGAGTCCGGTGGCATGGGGAATACGTGGGTGGAGGCTGTCGGCACGCTCTCGCGTGTGTGGGGCCCCTCACCCGCATCGAATATGCCCGGCAGTCAGAGCAGCTTCACTGCCGTGACCATCGAAGGAATGCGTGTGATGCTCTTCACACACCCGCTGAATTTTAAGGGATGGTGGCTGCGCGACCGACTGCAGCTCTGGCTGACGGATAACCAGCGCATTTATAACGTTGGGCAATTATCCATTGGTGATGAAAATTCCGCCTACAGCTCCGTCCTGTACAAGGATGATAAGCTGTACTGTTTGCATGAGATCAACAGTAACGAGGTGTACAGCCTTGTTTTTGCACGCCTGGTGGGCGAGCTACGGCTCATCAAATCCGTGGTGCAGTCCTGGAAGAAGTGGGACAGCCACCTGTCCAGCAATTGCACCCCTGCTGATTCTGCCGCCTCGTCGTCCGAGCGTGGTTGTGGTCCCGCTGTCACCACGGTTGGTCTTGTTGGCTTTTTGTCCCACAGTGCCAACAAGACCAAGTGGAAGGATGCGTACCGCTGCGTGGACGCAAGCACGGCGAATGCGGAGAGAGTTTCAAACGGTTTGAAGTTTGCGGGGGTTGGCGGAGGGGCGCTTTGGCCGGTGAGCCAGCAGGGGCAGAATTAACGGTATCGTTTTGCAAACCACGCGTTCACGCTGGTGGCGTCGGTGACGATCCACGAGGTTCCGAGCGTCGCGAGTCCTTTGCTGGGTGCGAGCCTGGACTCTTCTGGCGGCGAAAAGCTCCTGGGGCTCTCGTACGACAAGAAGAACCAATGGCAGCCAATATACGGATCAACACCGGTGACGCCGACAGGATCGTGGGAGACGGGTAAGAGGTACCACGTGGTTCTTACGATGGCGAATAGAAACGGTTCCGTGTACATTGATGGAGAACTTCTGAAGGGTTCAGGGCAGACCGTTGTGCCAGACGAGAGGACGCCTGACATCTCCCACTTCTACGTTGGCGGGTATGGAAGGAGTGATATGCCAACCATGAGCCACGTGACGGTAACCAATGTTCTTCTTTACAACCGCCAGCTGGATGCCGAGGAAATCAGGACCTTGTTCTTGAGCCAGGACCTGATAGGCACGGAAGGAAACCTGGACAGCAGCGACGACGACGACGAAGGTACGCCCTCAACAGTACGTCCTCAGCTCCTGTTGGCAGCGGTGCCAACAGTACGTCCTCAACTCCCGTTGGCAGCGGTGCCAACAGTACGTCCTCAACTCCCGTTGGCAGCGGTGCCAACAGTACGTCCTCAACTCCCGTTGGCAGCGGTGCCAACAGTACGTCCTCAACTCCCGTTGACAGTGGTGCCAACAGTACGTTTTCGAGTCTTCTGGCTGGGAGTTCCAACAGTACGTCCTCAACTCCCGTTGGCAGCAGTGCCAAAAGTACGCCTTCGATGCCTTTTGCCGGTGGCGTCTACCGTAATTTTTTCGTTTTTGTTGACGGCGGTGCATTTTCGGCTTTTTCGGGTGGAAGAGTTTTCCTGTGTGCGTGGGCGTTGCTGCTGCATCCGCTCCTGATGATTGCTTCTGTTTGATGTAGCGAGAGAGGGTTTTCTTACATGGGTAGGTGCAGTAATAATTGGGGTGTTAACTGTTGCGGCAAATGTATGTGTGCGGGATCTCATAATAAAGAAATGATCTTCAGGAATATGTTTTTTAAATTTGCGAATCTTCTGGGCGGATGTGCAAACACATGGGAATGAGTAATTTGTTGAATTTGTTTTTGGCTTTTCCTTTTTTTTTTTGTCACTGGCTTTTGTTCACGAGGAGACCGCGTTGGAATGCGGTGAGGACGTTTCTTTGTTTTGTTTTTGCCCCGACTTTTTTCTTTTCTCACGGTTTCACAAATAAAACCGATGGCTCGCACGCCGTACGGCAGCACGCGCCCCTACACCTCATGGCGTTACAACTGTGCCCCAGCAAGACGCGGCTGTTGCTGGCGTTGGTCGAATACCGTCAGCCCCGTGCCAACAGCAACAATCCCGTGAGGGAAACATTGCTGGCTCCTGGCTTCCCCCGACAATACGGGGCAATCGACCCTGACGCCACGCTGCGCCGTCCAGTAGCTTCTCGAACTATTGTAGCCTCCAACCAGGACGTAAATCTTGTTGCCCTTCACAATCACTGTGGGATCCACCACACGAGAAACAGACGATGCACGACTGTTCTTGATGGCAATTTGGGTCTCCCACTTCTCCCCATCGTCCACGCTGTACTTCACCACCGTGTCAATGAGGGAGTTGTCATTGGATGTGTCGTAGCGAGCGTCCGCGATGGCAACCATCACCCCATCCACATTAACAAGGGCGGGGAGGCGGAACGAGTGGACAACTCGCTGTCGGACTTCGCCGTTCTCTTCAAATGGCACCGTCGAATTTTGCCGCTTAAACAGCTCAACTCGGCTCGATCCGGGTGCCAGGGCGTGCGCGGGCTCATTGGGGCAGAGCGCCAGAAGAAGCGGCACGAAACACGTTAGCCAGAACATCCTGCTGGCCCCGACGACTGTCCTCCCCATCGTACTCGGTGCCTACCTGTGTGTCCTTCGAGTGTTGTTTGTCGAATTTATATTGTGCCTAAATCAATAGCGGCAATACCGTCTCTTTGCAGGGGGATTGCCGCGGGGGTGTTGAGAAGAGGAGGAGAACACACAAGTCGCAGAGGATTCAGAGCACCGGGCACCGTCCACGGGACAGCACGCAATTGTGACAGTTCATCATTGGTGGCGGCCACGCGCGGAAACCGTCGTCGCTTTTTTTCTCTACAGCCTCCTCCTCCGCGCCACCCCCGAAGCCCGCAGGAATCGAAGGCAAGGAAGCAACGACAGGCCTGACGGTCTCTCTTTTCTTGTGGGATAATTTGTGCACATTGGGAGACCACTCAAATTTGGTGGTCTTTAGTCTTCATTTTCGTCTGTCTGGCAAAAACATTGGTGTGCATGTGAGTGCCCCCCCCTTTATCGCTATTTTTCTTGAGGTGAATATTCGTGCGTGAAGTGTTTTTTTTTTGTCATCGCCACGAGACATTTACTTCATCAGTTCGGAATCGCTGCGTGATGGTTGCGTTCGGAAGTGATGTAAATCCGCCGGCTTTGTATTCCAGGAGGCCAGCGTAGGCAATCATGCAGCCATTGTCAATACAGTATCGTGCGTCCATATCAAAGCAACGGCCTCCACGAGACGTTGCCATCTGCCGCATCATTTCTTGTAGTCGAAGGTTGCATCCGACACCACCGACAATGAGGACCTCGTTGGATTCGCATTGCGACATGGCTCGCTCTGTTACTTCCGCCAACACAGCAAACATTGTTTCTTGTAGGGAGTAGCAGATATCATCAATGCCAAAAGGCTCATCCACAGCACACAAGACTCCATTGGGCAGTGTTCGCCGCTGTGTGGACAAAGACACGGAGGATGCCAATGCGGATGAACACTTATCTCTGTCTTTAAATTGTGGATGCTGCAAAAGTGCCTCCATAAAGGAGAGAAGGCCGCTAAAAGACATATCCATCCCCTTCACAACGTAAGGAAGTTCAATGAAGAGGCGTCCACGCTTGGCGCACTGTTCTATGTTGTAACCGGGAGCGGGGTCGTTGGGGAGTCCAAGGAACCGCGCTGCGCGGTCAAGACAGTTCCCCACTGCAATGTCAATGGT